AAAATTACTAGTTTTACTAATTTATTAACTATTTTAATAAATAAAAAATTAATATTAATAAAATAAATATATATAAAAATACTAATATTATTATATAATTTAAATATAAAATTAATATTAAAAAGATTTCTGTAAACTTTAACTAATATATAAATTTTTAAATAAAATAAAATAATTATAAACTAAATTATATATATAGAAATAGTAATTTTATTAATCTTAATAATAATTTATACTAAAATAATAAAATTATTATATTTATAAATAATTATAGTCTAATTTTTAATATCTAGAATAATATTTTTATAACTAATTATATTAATTATAATAAAAAGATTTAATTAAAGATTTTTAATAAAAAATATTTTAACTATAATATAAATAAATATAGAAATAAATATATTCTTAATCTAATTTTTAGTATAAAAAAATTTAATTTAAAAATTATAAATTTTTTAATTTAGAAATTAAAACTAATTCTAATAATATTGAAAAAAGTTTTTATTAATAAAATTAAAATATAAATTAATTTTACTAGTATAATATTAATAATTATAAATAAATAACTAGTATCTAGATATACTAGAATATATAATTATATTATATTTAATCTAGTTTATACTATTACAGAGTACTAAGTATATAAAAAAATATTAAAAATAATATCTTTCTTATACTAATTTAATTTAACTACAGAATTAGTAGAAAAAATAATAAAAATAATTTTTAGTAGCTTTAACTTACAGGATAAATATTTATATAAAGTATTCTAAAATAGAAAAGTAGAGGTATATTAGATATAACTAATAGAAATAATATTAGTATCTATAACTATAGGAGCCTCTAAAAGCTTAATATTCTTAATAAAAAATATATATTTAATAATATATATCTTATCTTAATAAATATTACCAAGAGTATTCTTAGATTTATTATATAATATAATAAGATTATCTGGAAGTTCTTTAATAAATCTAATTATTTTTAATATATATATTTAGGTATTAACTTAATATAAGAAGTATTAGTATATAAAGAATCTATATATATAGATTTATATAAGGATATATACTTAAATTAAGAGGATATATTATATTAATATTATTTAAGAAGATATTTCTAAGATTCTAGTATAATTAAATTAGTAATTATAGTATATATATTTTTTAAAATTAATTATTATAATTATAATTATAATTATTTTTTTAATTATTCTAATAATTATATAATTATCTATATTATTCTTAATTTTATTAGGATTATTAGTTTTACTACTAGAATTATTAAAACTAATTCTAAAACTAATAATTATTATAATTCAGAAAAAAATTAATAAGTAGTTTTATATTCTAATATAAATATTAATTATATTATTAAAAAAATATTAACTTTATTACTATTATTAATAATATAATATTTAAATTTATTAATATAGTTAATAAAACTATTAATTATACTAAAAAAATATAATAATTATTATATTATTATTAATTTAAAAATAAAATATTTTCTTAATTTAATCTTCTAAATTATTTATTAATATTATAATCTTAACTATTTTAATTATAATAATAATTATAATCATAAATATAATTCTAGAATCTATATTTTTAGAATATTTAGAATTTATAAATATTAAGATTTTTATAAAAACTTTTATTATTTTTATAAAAAATTTAAATTAAATTTTTCTAATTATATTAATATTAATTAAATTATTTAAGAAACTTAGTAATTATTATTTATTTTAATAATCTAAATATACTAGTATATAAATAAAAATTAATATAATTTTAAATATATATAATCTAGTTAAATATATTATTTATTTATACTATTTAAATATATTAAATAATATTCTAAATAAATTATCTAATATATTAACAAGTTTATATATTAATAAAAATAAAGTATATAATATTTCATTTATTTATAATACTAAAAATATTTAGTTTAAATCTTTTTTTAAATTTTTTAATTTAATTATTAATTAGATTAATATAGATTATTAAATATTTCTTAATTTTAGTAAAACTAATTATATATTAAATAAGTATAATTTTTTAAAAATAAATTAATAAATTTATTTTAATTACAGCTTCTCCGCAGTATTAAATAATATTTTTAATATAATTAATAAATATATTAATATTTTTATAATATATAATATAATTAATTTACTTTATAACTTTATTACTAATTATATTAAAATAAAAAAATCTAATTTTTTTAGACTTTATCTCTTTAATATATATTATATAATAAGTAAATTCTTAAGTATTCAGATTTTTATTATTTTTAAAATAAGAAAACTAAGAAATATTACTAGTATTATTTAAAAATAAATTTTTAAAAAAACTAGATAGTATAAATAGATTAATAAATAATATAAAATTATTAAATATAAAATTACTAGAATTAAAGTTTTTATCTAGATTAATTAATAAAAAATTTAGAGTAGAAATATTTTATATAAAATAATTTTTTAATATTATAAATTATTTAAGAATCTATTATAAAATATTTTATAATTAATTTTATTATTAATTTTTTTAATTTTAAGAATATTCTAATATTATAATATATTCTAAAACTAATATTATATATACTAAAAATATTAAAAATTATCCTAACTATAGATATCTTAAAAATAAGAAAATTTAGTTATATTATTTTATAATATATATTTAATTATAAAGTTAAAAAAATAATAATTTTTATAAAATATACTTTAAAATTTAAAAAATTTAAACTAGGATTTAAGTTTTTTTAATAATTATACTAGAATATAGAATTACTTAAATTAAAAAATATATTTAATAAAATTATAAAAAAAAATAATAAAATATTTAATCTAATTAATAATAAAAAAACTCTAGGAATATTAAGATTTATAAAATAATAAAGAATAGTAGTACTAACAAGATTTATAAAATAAGTTTTATTTAAAATAATTAAAACTTCAGGATATATTTACTTAAAATTTTTTAAATAATTAAAATTTTCTGGATTTACCAGAATAGGTTTTTTTTAATAAAACTAGAAATAAAAATTATAAATATTTTAGAATATAAAAATAATAATAATATTAAAAATATAATTATAACTAAAATAAACTTTAATTATACTTAATTAACTATAGATAATAATTTTAATTTTTAGAAATTTTTAGGGGCTTTCTAAGTATCTTTATATTAATAAATATATTAATTAGAAAAAAAAAGATATTAGATTTATCTAATAAAGTTAGTAATATCTTTATATAATATAAAATAAATAATATCCTAGTCTAGAGGATATTTTAACTATTTTATAAATAAAAAAATAGTAAATCCAGTAAGATAATATTAGATCTGGAGACAGAAGATGTATAACTTATAGTAAGGTTAATTAATTAATTAATAATTATATATACCTTATCCAGGCTTTAAATACATAAAGGTCAAATACGCGATATGAAAGAAGAAGATAGAAGCCATGAGGTAGGAGCTGCCAGGCCGCTAGCTAGCAGCCCTGCAGTGCCTGTCACAGATAATAAATATAGATTAAAATATTATTATTAATTTAACTATAAAATTATTCTCTTAAGTATTCTTAAAACTAGATAATTTAATTTATTATTTTTAATATAAAATAAGCTGAATTAATATCAGTATCTATAACTTAATAATTATATTTAATATCTTTCTTCTACTAATATATTACTTATAAATAAATAAAGTAATACAAAGATTTTTAGAGAAAAGAATAAATAAAAATAACTAGCTAAGAATAATTCCTAGATTTATTAAGATATTTAACAGAAAAAAAGTAAAATTAAAAAAAAAAACTATTAATAGTATAATAAAACCAGAAATAAATAAGTAAAAAAATTAGAAAAAGTAAATAAATAGCAGTTTTTAGAAAAATATAAATATATATAGATTTAGTTACTATAAATCAGATAACTAGAATAGGATTTAGTAAATAAAATATATTAAAAAACTTAATTAGCTTATAACTTATAAAAGTATTAAAATAGACTTATCTAATAAAAATTATAGACTAGTAATTATATAAAAAAATAAAATATATAAATACAGAATTAGAGTACCCGATATATTCAGAATATAAAAATAAAAAAAACTTAGAAAAAATACTAGAATTCTTTAGAAATATATAAAAAATATATCTAATAAACTAGGATATACTACTATATATTATATATAACTAAAATAATAATAAATTAAGATAATAATTATTAACAGAATAATAGTTAAACTAAGTAAATATCCTAAAACAGGTGAACATGAGTTCTACCTGCCAGGCGGTATAGAAGGCAGCCGAAGGAAGAAACAGCAGAATCCTCAGGTAAGCCAAGGAATGCTATAATAGCTTAATAATTATAATAGGATTAAAAATTAAGTAAAAATTAAGTAAACATTATATTATATATAGAAAAATCAAAATTTGTAGTATTCTTAGATATTTAGAATATCTAGTATAAGTAACATATTCAGGATATTTGAAATAGATAAAATAAATAAAGAAGATAAAGTAGATAAAGTATTCTAAATCTGTATCATGATACTATATTATAATATCTAGAAAACAATAAAAACATCTATATACTAATAAACTATTATACAGATATTAGAATATCAAAAAATATTCTTATATATTATCAAGAACCTTTTTATTAGAAAATATTTTAAAAAATATAAAAAATAGTTATATATTTATTTAATATTTCTTAAAAATAGATATTATTAATATTTCTTAAAAGTAGATACAATACTAATATAATATATTATATAGTAAAGTAGTATAATACAGGATTACTCATTCTTCAAGACATTTTAGAGAGGTATCGCTCATAGTACTCTATGTCATATGATTCTATACATGCTGCATGTGATAAAGACTGAGTAGTAATCAGCTAATGGTGAGATGTTGATAAGAAAGGACCAATAGGCGGAAGTAGCTGGACACTAATGGCAATTTGTGCTAGGATGGATTGATCATACTTTCCCCTTGACAATTTTCAATTCTCGGGGTTTTCTTCAATTGGAAATTTACTAATGAAAGTACTCTTCATGATCAATGTATAACAATTGAGTCGTCTTCAGTCCTCATAATTTTTCACTTCGAACACTCTTCCCCCTCTTCATCCTCTTTGTTCTTTCATATCTGGGACTCTTCCACTACGGTGCACCAGACTTTTCACGACCCCTCTACGTTGATATGGATGAGATAAAGACCAGCTCAGTCGATTTTGGTGGTGTCTTTGATGTGGATGAGTCCCTGGTCCCAGTGAGAGACCCCAAACAAGCCAGCCAAAGCAGTGTAAATTTTGATGGTTTACTGGCGACTCCTCTTGTTCTCCAGGAAGATCTTAAAGAAGGCTGCGGAGGCCAGCTATGGCCTGCGGGCATGGTCCTTGCCAAGTACTTACTACGTCAGCATCGCACTAGCCTTGCCAATAATTCAATGTTTGTTACTTTACTCCTTTGCTATCTTCCTCGTCTCCTATCATACATGGTCTGACGTAGAATCACTGATGCTTTGCTAGTATTGAGCTGGGATCCGGTGGCGGTTTGGTTGGACTTGCCGTTGCACAGGGCTGTCAAATCGGCCCGTCGCCTGTGTTCATTACGGATCAAGCCCCGATGTTACCCTTGATGAAAACGAATATCAAGCTCAACAGCCTTTCACATCTTGTTACAGCCAAGACGTTGAACTGGGGTGAACCTGTCCCTGACTACATTCCAAAAACGCCTACGATCATTCTTGCGGCCGACTGCGTTTACTTCGAACCGGCATTTCCCCTGTTGATATCGACCTTGAAAGATCTTCTGGGTCCAAAGTCGATCTGTTATTTCTGCTTCAGAAAACGTAGACGCGCTGACCTCCGCTTCTTGAAAATGGCGAGAAAATTGTTCGATTTTGACGAAGTTCAAGATGACCCTGATGCAGAATCATATCGAAGGGAGAATATCTTCCTTTACACCATACGACTAAAAAATAGTCGGGATGTTATCCTAACTCAGCAGCGGTTCAAATTTGCAAAACAGGATTGCTCGAATGGAAACTAAATCACGTTGGCAACTCTTCATTTTTTCCAAATAGATAGGATCATTTTCTGGAGCATTTATTACAATTTTAAAGCATGGCTTTTATCCTTGGCACCTTCACCGATTGTTTTCCCTTGAATATCAGTGACCTCGCCTTGTTTCCCAATAACCTTGACTCCACCCCGCTTGAGGTCGGACAAAAGCTTCTCAGCCTCTGCCGCTTTTCCAGATTGTTGCTTGTTTGTTATAGAGCCGTGCTTTTGCTTCTTGTGGTCCCGCCTCAATCTCGCCTTTTGTTCACGCGTCATCTCTTCCTTAGAAATTGATACTCCATTTCTCAGATTCAACTCCCCAGGTACTATGCCATCATCCCCGGGAGCATATATCTCTTGTGGTGCAAGCGCTGCAGGACCATTGACAGCACTGCTGGTGGTGGGCTGAGCCTCTTCCATAGTGATAGTCGCTACATCAGTAACCACGTTGATGCTCGCCTGCGGAGCCTTCGGCTTGTAATTCCAGTTAGAGAGCGTATCCAACTGAGAGCTTATAATCTCCCAAAGACTGTTGACATGAGCATGCTCGCGCATCAATTTCTGATTCCTGGGGTCAACGTAATTTGGATCTGTCGACCTCAAATGATCAGCCTCGTAGAGCTCGGCGAGACTCTGTTGTGGTTTGGTATCCTCAAGCTCAAGCTTCGATCGTTCTGTAGACGTTTTGTCGGGAATTCCAGGACGGCGACGTATTACTTCGTCAAATTGCTTTGCGAGAATTCGTTGCTTGACGATCTCTTCAATGCTGCTCGTCAACTCTGCTGTGACAACTGGGACAGGCTTGCCTATTCGCTCGAAATCTAGATCTTCTTCAATGAGGGAATTTACGGGTCTCTCGATTGCTCGAGCTTCGCCGCTGATCATCCACTCCTTCTTGGCAACATTTGCTGCCTCCAAGCGGCGGATCTCATCGGCGATTCGGGCGCGTTGCTTCTCGTGGCTAGAATAGTGACTGGGCGATGCGAGAGCATTCTCAGAGACGTCTTCGTCGTCGGTCGAGGGTTCATCCTCAAAAAGGTCTCGACGAACATCAGCCATCGCTCGGTCAATGTCGCCATCAGAGACCTTGTGAGTTGGCTGCGTATTGGGGAGTGAACGCGACTTTTTCTTCGAAGCCTTCCGTGGAGGTGGCGCAAAGAAATCATCATATTTGATATCGCTGGTGTTGATCCAACTTGTTCCCTCGGGACCGACATGTAATTCGTCATCATCAGAGTCTGAAAGACCGTATATGTCCATGTTATCAAACGTTGGCCCTTCTTCTTCGCTGTCACCTGTGCTGTCATTTCCGTCCTTGACGGGTGGCACTGTTGTCGAGCCCCTCTTTCGGTCCAGCTCAGGGTCTGCAAGGTCAAGTGGATTCGCATGCCAGTCAACTCCCTCACCATCACTGTCGGTATCGTCATCGGGTCCACCCCTAACATCCTGTCTTTCGAATTGTTCAGATTGCCTGTTGAAGTCGTCGATCGAGAAAAAACCATCATTGAGGCCGAAAGCGTCCTCTACATATGTTTCCCGATTGCTTCCATCATATTCGGTTTGGCTAGGCGTTGACTCATCGCTTGACAGCCCATGGTAACTTCCGTCAAGTTCAGTTGAAGGGCTTTGAAAAGTCGCGCTCGCCGTATCACTGCTGTCCAGACTCAAAAGTTCGCTGTCATTTCGAGACTGGCCGTCAGAATCGCTAAATTCCGACAACCCTGCTTTTAAAGCGTGATGGGAGGGTAATTCTAATGAATCTTCCCGTTCGGCAGAACGTTGTTCAGCGGCCCCTTTATAGCAGGTGCGATCATGCTCGAGTTCTCTGAAAGTGGAATCGAGGATTCGGATGGCTTGTTGCCATACTTGATCGGGACTGAACCCTTTCACGTACAACTGCCGTAACTGCAGGGCATGGCCCCCTAGATTCTGCTCGACGTCGGTCCGTTTCCGCTTCCTGTCTCTTCGCTGTCGGCCACATTGGGAGCTGCTGACCGAGAGCGCCAAAGGATTCAGATAGATGGGAACCGAAGATTGAACAGTATCGGTAAGCTCTACCGTGGGGTGGAGGAAAGTCCAAGGAGCCTGGAGTGCCGACTCTAGGGGTGAGGAAACCAAATCACAAGCCAACTCATCACGAGCTGGCTTAAACTGCTGGAAATTATTGCGGTTCATGGTGCAGCACGACCATTACTGGCGTCGAAGATATGAACTGGACTTCAATGACAGCAGAAAAGTCGTTTGACTTCTGTTTGTAGTATCCCCACCGTGCGGAAATCTAATGTCGGCAGCAGGGAAAAAGTGTAAAAACGTGAAAACGCTCGGGCCATCATTTGACGGGTGGAAATTGTTATTCTCACTCCTCTAACATAATTTAGCCTAGCATTATTTCTACCCGCGCTTAATAATCTCAGTTGTATAATTAGTTACAAATACTCATGCTGTCTGACATCTTAGATATGGTTCTCTCTGTAAACCTAAAAAGAAAACTCTAGTAAAAGAAGAAAAGAGTATCTCTTGATATACGACTATAATCAATACCTTCCACTTTAAAGATCTTAAGATTCCTAACATAATATGATATATTCCTAAAAACCCTGGTGTGAGAAAATAAGAAAATAGGCCAACTAGGTTAATATTATAAACTCAGGTCCTAAAATACTTACTTTACTATATAAGAACTAGCATTCCCAAATTAATGATATAAGTGCAAGAGAATGACCATACAAGGAGTGAGAATGACAACTTTCTTTCAAGTAGGCTACTCTGAGCCTGTCTTCCGAGTAGTGCAATACCAGGAGCTATTTATAAATGGATGCTATGTTGTATAGTACCCCAGGCAACTACACCCAGCGCCTCTGGCTAGTGCTATTTTATTAAACTTTTAGTCTATTTATCTATATTATTTTATTGTTCACTTCTGCCTTTACATGATACATATGAATAAGCCGCTATAACTTAAAGAAAATTGAGAATTTGTATCTAAAATTAATTATAACTTATCAGCCTTATCTTTTTACCTTATTCTTCAGTATTTATTCTATTATAATAAATATTGATAATTCGTAATCTTGTTTAATTATTTGAGAAAAGTACTATATCTTTTATTATTATTCTTTAAAAATAATCACAAGATAGTTCTATTATTTTTATATTACAAACTATCTTAGTACAAAAATAATTAATAGCATTAAAAATTACTGTTTAAGGATTGAAATACTTTAAATATTTCAAACCATAATTTTATACTCTTTCAATTAAATATATTATTATTAGTATATATATCAAATTGGTTTTATCAATATTCAAATATAGCAGCCTATCCGCTCCCTCATGTATCCTGATATTCTTCCTTTATATATTCTTATATTATATTCCTATATCTTTATTGATGTCTGGGGTGTGGACTGCTGAATCACATAACCTGAAGGAAAATATAATACTGTAGAATTATGTAAAAAGTTCTTTAGTAACTAAATTAATGAATGATAAAGATTTCATAATTTTTTTATTTAAACTGCTAGTTTCTATAAATTATAAATCTAACTTTGATTTAAATTTTACAAGTTATATTCTTTCTCCTTTTTTAGTATAGAAAATATATTATATATGATTTATTATATCTATTCATTAGAACTGCTATCATTAGAAATAGTTTTTTTAATATTAAGTATATTAAATATTTTAAGCAGATAATAAAATATATAATAAGAAAATAGAAGTAATATAAAAATCTTATAAATTAGCAAATCATTAATATAATCAGATTATTAATTTTATTATATTGGCATATTCATATTAACTATATTATATTTATTAATATTATAATATATTGAAATATTACTATATTTTTAAATAAAGAGTTTAATATATATGACTAAATACCTTTTATTGATATATATAAAGATGAGGTTAATGTTTATTTTTTGAAATACAAAAAATACTTCATTAATATTATAGCTATTTATAAAAAGGATTATATATTTTCTAGAATTAAACATTTATATTTTTATAGAATATCTGAGTTATAAAGAAAGTTCTTATTTAGATATTTTATAAGAATATTAAATAAGAGTTTATAGCTTTATATATAATTCAAAAAATAATAATAGGGTATATTAATTTTAGTATTTTATTTTATATTTATATAATTCTTTATAATTAAAGTTTCAATCAGGATTTTTAAAGTAAAATTATAATTATTCTTAAAAAGATAGAAATAAGAATAAAATTCAAGAAATCTAATTATATAGTTTACTAGTATATTCTTGTTCTTAATATGAACTTAAAAAATATATATAAAACTCTGAATATTTTAAATAGGAGAAATTTTTTTATTAAAAATATATATTTTAAGAAAAAATTATTTTATATTTATAAAAACTATAAGATAATAATAATAGTAATAATTAGTATATTTTTATTTTATTTATTTTATCAAATCATAATTTAAATAAATATACTTTGATTGATAACTCTAATAATAAAAAGACTATTTATATATTGAAATATCAATACAATCTAGTAGCTCTAGAATATTTTTTAATTAATAGAAATATCTTACCTATACTCTTTACTTATCTTAATAATTATAAAACTAAACATAATGATTTATTTATCTTAATTAGATATAGTTTTTAAAGTATAAAAATATTTTATATTTTACAAATAAACCCTTATAAAACTATTTGAATTATATATATAGTTATAAACTAATCCTCTATAGGCTAGTTAACATCCTAATTAGGATTTTATTTTTCAGATTTTTTTTAAGAATTTCCTAGTTGATAAACTGACTTAGTAAGTGCTATCAACAGCAGAAGCTGATAAACTATCTGGTACTAGAATACTCTATATTCTAGCCTATCTAGATTCTTGATTTATAAAAAAATTCTTGAAAAGATACTAGTAAGAATCTTTAAAAAATTTATATACAAAATTAAATATTATTAAAAGATATTACCTATTATTGATTAAAGAATCTATATAAATTGTTTTAATTAAAATCAAAGATAGCTATTCAAGAAGTTAATTAGTGAATATTATAAGATATATAAAATAGGAAAATAGGAAAAAGATATATATCAAATTATATTTTTAATTTTTATTTAAGTAAATTTTATATTATATTGTAAAGGATTTTAATTTATACTAAAAATAAAACTTATACTAGATTTAAATCTAAAATAAAGTAAAATATAGAACTATTACTAGTATAAGTTACCAGTAAAGAAGAGAACTAACTGTCCTCCTATTACAGAAAGTGTCTTTCATCCACACCACCACAGTACTTTACATCATAGCCATACTTTGTAGTGATTGGCTACCATCAAGCATTAATTACCAGTCAAATTCAGAGTCAATGCATCCTCAGGTCATACGTCATCTTTTAATAATAACCGCAGCCACGAGATGACAACGTCACTCTGACGGCAAGGAAACAGTAATACATGATCCCATTTCTTCTCTTAGGTAGGCTGCTAGGAAGCTCTAAGATAAGAGTGAACGAACCCCTGCTGTCTTCACACTTATTTTGGTCGCTTCTATAACCGAAACGTCTAGAGACTCCAGTCTCGCCGATATGCAAGAATATACCGAGAGATCATCTCAGGGCAACTCCTCCCAATTCAAGCCTGGTAAACGTCATATGAAGCATTGAGTCTGACTAGGGTCTTACCGATCTCACAGGCCATGAAATTCCCATCCAACACCAGAAGAAGCCTGGCCTACAAGCCGATCTAGAACAGCCGAAACCAGCCTCAAGTTGCATACCCGATGAGGAAGGTGGCTACCAAAGCTACAAGGCAGCAGGGAAGCTGGTTGGTAAGCGTGCCGTAATCACCGGCGGCGACTCGGGGATTGGACGTGCTATAGCCATACTTTTCGCGATGGAAGGAGCGACAAGTCTTATAGTTCACTTGCCGGAAGAAGACAAGGACGCACAAGAAACAAAAAGAAGGGTGGAAGAAGCTGGGCAGGAGTGTCATTGCTTGGCAACCGATCTTCGCAAAAGAGAAAATTGCCGCAGAGTGATCGATGCCGCACTAGAAAAACTAGGTGGCATTGATATTCTGATAAATAATGCCGGAACGCAGAATATGATTGACGACATCAAAGATCTGGAAGAGTAAGTCGGATGACACCTTGCGTGTGTATTTGAAACATAACACCCTCTTAATTTATCGAACGAGCTGTCGAAGTCTCTCATCAATTGACCCCATTCGCTGACAAGAGCACAAAAGGAGTCAGTGGGAAATGACATTTGACACCAACATCCACCCTTTCTATTATCTTTCCAAATATGCATTACCCCACATGGAAAGTGGATCGACCATAATCAATTGTGCATCTGTCAACGCTTATATCGGTCGGCCTGATCTTCTCGATTATACATCAACAAAAGGTGCAATTGTTGCCTTCACACGAGGTCTGTCTAACCAGCAAATTAAAAACGGCATTCGTGTGAACTGTGTCTGTCCAGGTCCAGGTGAGCTTAGACAAAGATCTACCTATGTTAGTGCCTTGGATGCTAATATGGTGATGCCCAGTTTGGACCCCACTTATCCCCGCTACCATGAATACTTCTGCAATGGAGCAGTTCAGCTCTGTTCCAATGGGTCGTCCAGGACAGCCAAGTGAGATCGCCACGTGCTTTGTTTTCCTTGCGAGTATGGACAGTAGCTATATTTCTGGGCAATGCTTGCATCCAAATGGAGGCGTTGTGGTGAATGGGTAACCACCCCTCAAGGGTGTATATTCAGATGGCCAAGCGTATACTTACAAACACATCAATCTTCACATGTTTCACATAGGATACTAGAAACCGCCTAGTGTAAATAGTATGTCACGTGTATAAGCTCTTTAAAAAAACGAAAAGTTCTTGAGTTCATCTTTCTGGTAGAAAAGTTTTCGCCGCTATTTGAACCCCTAATTCAACTAACTTGACACCAACACAGTACTTGGCTCGAAGACTGCGAACTCAACGACGGTACCACATGCGTGTGATCCTGGTGTGTCTCATCTTCTTTTGAAGTTGAAAGATTCCGTACATTAGTGCCTCGGACGTGGGCGGGCCTTGGATCTTAAGGTTAGTTCGCAATACTATAATAACGTTGGTAGGGCAGAACGAACATCCAGGGACATAGACATCCACGGGCACGATCCTGTCGCACCCACGAACAACGGAGTAGCTATAGTGATAGTACCCCCCACCATTCGCACAGCTTCCCATACTGATGACCCATCGAGGATCAGGCATCTGATCGTAAACTTGTCTAAGAGCGGGCGCCATCTTATTTGTCAGGGTACCAGCTACGATCATGACATCGGACTGTCGTGGAGAAGCTCTGAAAATAATTCCCAGGCGATCTTGGTCATATCTCGGTGTCGAAAGATGCATCATCTCCACGGCGCAGCAGGCAAGTCCAAAGGTCATGGGCCAGAGCGAGCTCTGCCGTGCCCAATTGGCAACTTGGTCAAGAGTAGTCCTGTAAAATATTATTAAGATGCGCAAATTGAGAAAAGCTAGCTGGGATACAGACAGCACATATTGCATTGCACCCTCCTTCTTCTCCTGGCTAGGCAATGGTACCTCTTGTCGTACCTTGCCAGAAGCAGTGAGATGCTGGCCAGACTGCTGCTGCCGCTCGAGTGCTGTCGCCGATTTGATAGCTGATGTTGAAAGCCGTGACATTTGCTGAGGCCGGAAGAGGCATGATGCCGCACGTGGTCGCACTGCTCGGTTGTTAATGGATGACTAGCCAAGAAAGACTGAACAGCTGCCTACCATGCAAAGCGCCTAAGACAGCGCGCCCGGTGAAAGGAAACATGGTGGTAAGAAGCTCCTGAAGCGCTTCTGAAGGATAGGCTTCCTCGCCGTGTTCAAATAGCAGCAATACAGGGGATGAGGGTGTAACGGTAAGGTTGCAAGTCGCAGTGGCAATGAGATAATGGCAAAGTAAAAGGGTTAATTTGGATGGCTGTTCTGCACTGATGGTACCAATGGATTACTCTTTGATTGTTTTACTGTAATAATACAGTTGTCGCCGCATACTGATGGACAGCGAACGGGGCGATGAGTGTAAGAGCGGGTAAGATGATCGCAAAGATATATTTCTGTTACCACGTGATTGTGTAAGTTCAATTCTAGGCCAATTTATTGGCCGGCTCTCCCGAATGTACAGTGACTACAAGGACTCGCCGACTCGGCACCGGCACCGGCTTGAGTCCAGGCAGAGCTGCGTTAGGTAGGCCCGCCAGAGGCCCGGTCAGGCGAAGCATATAGGCTTACTCAGGTACCCTCCACCGCGGCAGACTGACTTGTTAACTATCTGATTTCAGCAAGGTAAGCAAGCTTGAAGTACTACGGAGTACTTACCCGTAAAATGTCTGCCAGTTGCCCAGTGTTAAGTGACCGTTTCGAACGGGTCTAGTCTTACACTCTCGGATTTCGAATTTGTTAATTCTTTCAATGCTGAAAGCTGATTACGTTGCCTTACCTAGGTATGCTTGTATGTGTATTCAGAAAAGTGCCAGTCGCTAGGCGAGGAACTATTTTGCCGTGTACAATACATGCACACAGGGTGGGACGCTATTACCTCAACAATTTTCAAGCTTTATGAGGTCCGACACCTCCTGAAGTGCGAAACTGAGAATCACTGCGAAGATGCCTAAAATTGCGTGCATCGGTGTAATTGGGAAAGCTGTATGTTAATCTATTTGGGGAGCCGGCCAGATGCTAATGCGGCCTAGGATAATCCATTACATGTAGCATTGTTCCCTCCATATCTCAGTTCGACTGTCGAGTTCTCCTTCCTCGTAAACTCCTGCTTGGATATCATTGAATTACGACGCAGACAACTGTCCATTGATCAAGATCTTGGCCTTTTGCAAGCCGTGGATGAGAAATTGGCGGCATACGGATGGCTCACTACTACTGGAGTGAAGCTGCTCGTCATAGTTGACCTAGTTGGCCAACCAAATAGTCCAAGCGAGCTCAGGGAGTCGTCAAGCGTTATACTGAAGGAGCCAGACCTTAAATCAGTATGTTATACATGAATGTTGTGGTCATTTGGTCATGAATGCATAACTAATCGCTTGGGGCTTTAGGTATTCCGGTCGCTTCAAGATGCCTACGTACAACTACTGCAGAATCCATTCTATGCCCCGGATGAACGTGCCGACATCTTCAAGCCTTCTGCCCAAGTAACAACTTTTCCTCAGATTACAGACAGAAGATTCGTCAAGGAGGTCATACGAATTGGTGAGTCATGGGCATGATTTGGGTCTCCACATTAAGGGCGAAAGGCCAGTGCGTCATGGCATTACCATGATCAGACATCACAGACTAGCATAGTCCGACATACGTTTGATCTTCACTTGGTGATGGATCTTTTCAATTAAAGCACTACTGAACATTACTGAGGTGCTTTGGGCCAGCGCCTCTGTTTTGCTAAAATACCCGTTACTTAAAAGTCACTAGTGAGTGGAAGCTAAAGGTTTCGAGTCTAAGCATGCCCAGGCCATGCCCAGTATTAGCTCATAGCCTCCCGGTGAGGGGAGACGCAAGCTTGCTAAAAGGGCCCAAGGCTAAGATAAGCCACAACCATAGAGTATGGTTTTCTGCGCGATGACAAGAGGGGAGAACTAGAGCCAGCTTGCCCTAGTTTTTAGTCACCAGTCTCTGCAAGTCACTTAGAATATCCTGAAGCTCCTGAGGATTGCAAATGGACCAGACACCGCCTCCCCTGACCATGACCTTACCTACTCCTTTACCGACCAGATTCTGGCCAACTTTCCCTGGGCCGATACCGATCCAACGTGTCACACCGTGCTCCTGATCTAGATATCGAATGCTATCCCACCACCTGACAGTTTCAACGCACTGTCGGGAAAGGAGGGTCTTCAATTCCTCTCTTGAAGTGAATGGCAAACCTGAAACATTTGATACACATTGCATTCTGGTTGGAAATCTGATGTCAACATGCTCAAGGGCATGTCGCATATAGTCAGCAGCCGGTGCCATGATAGGGTTGTGAAACGGACTCTCGCATTTTAACTTCACCGCGCGTGGATCGTGGCCCCCGAATTGACGAAGCTGGACTATCAGGGTTCTGATTTTCGGAATATTGCCGCTAAGTACGATTTGATTATTGGAATTAACATTCGCAATCATGACCTCCTGAAATGCGAGGGCCTTGTAACCCGTATCGTCTTTCGATGCTGGGTGCGCAAGGCCAAGAAAATCATGGATGGTTTCCAACAACTCCGGCAGGCGATCAGGCTCGCATACAAGAGCTATCATGCCATGTTCATCTCCTGTTCTTTCAGAAACTTCTTTTGTGCACTGAGACATGATCTCTGCGCGGCGTCTGACTAATCTCAGCGCGTCGCCAAACTCGAGGAACCCCCCAGCAACTAGGGCAGTAAATTCCCCCAGGCTATGACCAAGTGTAACATCCGCAAGTGTATGTGAACTGAACCCGAATTCCTCTTCTAGTATTCGGAGTATCAAAATGGATGTGGCCATTATGGCGGGTTGTGAGTTTTCGGTCTTATTCAGCTCCCAGTTCGGGCCCTGGCGCATGATTTGTGATAATGGGTATCCCAATGTTTTATCCACATCGTCCATCAATTTGTTGAATATCCTCGGAAACATATCGGCCCAGGGACTTGCCATTCCCACACGCTGAACCCCATGACCTGTGAGCAGAACTGGTCAGAAGCTAGGGTAGAGCTAAAAGTGAGGGCACCCAAACCAGGGAAGAAAAGTGCTGTGCGTAAAGGTGTTTTGAGAAGGGAGCATCGGTTGCGGATAATTGCATGGGTTTGCAGATAGCGTCGGTGTCCTACTACTTTAGAAGCAGACTTCAATTTTGAAGAGATTGCCGGTGGCATGTTTCTTAGTATTCAGGAGTTCAACAACGTGTAGAGCTTGTGCATGTACACAATTTTGTGAGCATGTGGGCATCGTGAACTGTGTCAGTGGAATCTTTCTAGCTTTTTTGAAGTGAAGTGCAGAGGGAAAGGTCTAATGCCAGCCAGTACACCCAGCAGTAGCTCAACATCTGTAAAAAAGAATATGCACGTGACTGATCTACCTAAGTACATTGTACCATGTGACCTTTTACTAGCTCCTGTTTATCATTAGTTAACTTCTTTAAATTAAAAGACTGAGTACAACAGCGACATATATAAAAGTATTACTATTCTGCTGGAGTGTCTTTTATTAACTAAGTAAATTAAATATATATTCTACATTTATACTATAACTATTTATTTAAATAATATTCTGATACAGATTATTTATTTAAATATGATTATGATTAAGATTATATATTCTTATATAGATAGAAATAAATTAGAGGTAATATATATCAATAAGTCAAAATAGACTTTTCTTCTTTATATTATACATGAATTATGAATATTTATTTTTTAAGTACTATATTGTTAATAAAGAAGTTTTTTATGTTTCTTATTTTATAATCTAATTTTTAATAAATAAATACTATACTATATCTATATTTCAATTAATATAGTAACTATAGAGATAATTAAATTAGATATATTATATTATATTATTATTTTATTCATATTTACAACTATATAGATATTAGTATTATATCATATTATTTTTATTACTTCGATTAATATTATATATTTATATGAAACATAGCACCTCTTGTACAAATAGATAAAACAATAAAATTTTTCTAGTATACTGGTTATATATATATTCTGAGATATCTTTTAATCTTAACTAGATCTGGCTATAAATACCTGAGAATATAAAATCAGGAGAAGATTATTAATAATAGTATTTATACTATATTATAATTGTTCTTATTGTTCTTTTATATATATTATCTATATTATATATATTATACTTATTAAATATATCATATATACTGTCACGGTACAGACTTAGAACACACAGTCTATCTAGTATGCCCTGCCTACCCTATCCGCCTGAGTATACCGCTGAACCTAACTATTCTGTATATAATATATGATTTATTTAACCTCCTGGTTTATGTTAATTCTGTTATAACTATTTAAAATATATTTTATTTATAAATCTAAAAATAACCTAATCTAAGTAGTTAGTTGAAAATTAAGAAAATTATTATTAAAATCTACTAGTTTAAATTATTATATATATTATTTCTACTAGTTTATATTTTAATATTATATATTTTTTTTTAAAAAATAGTAGTTTAATAAGATATTAATAATTTTATAATTTTTTTATAATACTAAACTTTTATAAAAAAACTGATTTAATATATAATCAAATATTCTAAAGAATAATACAATTATTATACCTAGATTTATATCTTTATTATTAAAATAAATTATAAAAAAATAATTTAAATAAATTATAATTACTTATAATACTATTATGATTACTTAAATAAAATAAATTCTAAACTTAAATTATTAATTTATAGAAGTAACTATAATTTAAGATATTAATATAAAAATCTAATATAAATTAAAATAATATTTATTAAAAGTATCTATACTATTATTTTTATAATAAATATTTTAATTTAGATTTCTAAATCTATTATTAAAAAGTTATTAGCTATTTTAGTGGAAATAATTATATTAATTAATTCTAAATTTTTTATCTCTATTCTTCTCTCTAAATATTTATTTAATTTTAATAAATTCAATAATAATTATATTAATTTCTACTATTTTAATGACTAGATTTAAAAAAAATTAAAAATTAATATAAATTATTTTACTACTTCTACTATTTATAAAATCTATATTATTAATTATTTTAAAAATAATTCTATACCTAAATCTAGCTATATACTAAAAATAAAGAATATATATTTTTTAATCATTTAGATATTTTTACTTTTCTAGAATATTTATTTAAAAGTTTTGATAAATGATATTATTTAAAATAGATTATTTAATTTATACTAGAGATACTAAAACTTTTATAATTATTTTATTAAATTTTAAAACTTTATTTATAAAATTAAAATATATCTAAATATACTCTATTCTATATCTAAATAAAATATTAATTATAAATCTATATTAATATTAGTAAATGATATATTTATAAAAAGTAATTTCATAAACTTAATTAATTTATTTTTTATAAAATTTAAAGAATTATTATTTTTAATACTCCATTAATATAAGTATCTAAATATATTTTTAAAGATTTATTATTAGTATTATTATTTTATATATTTTTTAAAAACTATAAATCCTAATATAAAGATTTTAAAAAAGTTATAATTTCTAATTATAGTTTTAGAAATTCTTTTTTACTATTTATTACTATATCTTAAATTTATTTATATAAATTATAGTAAATATTTTTATTACAGATAAAATTATTATCTAATTAAAGATTATCTAGAATTTAATATATATATTCTATATATAATATTTCATTATTTATTATTAAAATTTTTTTAAATTTATTTATTTTTCTAATATTACTTATTTTTTTAATAATTTATAATTAATAATTTTATATAAAATAATTTATTTCTAGTTTTATAAATATTATAATTTTATTTTTTATTTTAATTAGAATATCTTTACTCTCTAGATTCTAGTAAATAACTAAAAAAATAAACTTACTTGAATTATTAATAAATTGAATTTTTAGTATAATTATATATTATTTTTAAAATTATTATTAGAGAATTTTCTAAAAAGAAATTCAAAAAATTAATTTAATAATTATTTTTATTATTCTAAATCTCTGAGAGTTAAATATTCTAATATATACTATAATTAATATTAAATATTCAATATTTAAAGTAATAAATAAGAGCCATATTAAGATTTATAAAATAATTCTAAGATTTAATAATTAATAAAAGAAATTAAATTAGATTATTTATTATATTTAAATGACTTTAAAAATATATATTTTATTTAATTACTTTTAGATTTTTTGATTTTTCAATTTATATTATTAAATTTATTATAATATATTTTTAAATAAATCTATATAATATATAATATTTCTTTAAAACTATATAAATATAAATATTACTATATTAAAAACTCAAAAAAATTTATTTTATTAATAATTTATATTATCTATATTTATTAAAATATTTAATACTTATTATAACTCCAGTTCAAATTAATAAAGCCTTAGAAAATATTATTAAATTCAAAAAAATTATATTATTTAAAAACTTAATAAATTTATAAATATTCTTTTTTAAAAAAACTAAGAAATTATTATTATATTATAATTATAATTATATAATTATTTTAAAGAAGAAAAAGTTATTTTATTTATTTTTTATATAATATATTCTAGAAATAATTATAAATTCTCCAGAAATAATTAATAAATAATAATTAATAAATAATTTCAAAAAGAAATTATTAATTTTAGTTTATTATCTATAATTCTATTTATATTATTTATTAAAAAATTTTAAAACAACTTATAGTTTTGTATAAATTACTAGATTTTAAATATTGTTTGTATTAAGAATTAATATCTACTTTTATTCATAGAAAGAATTCTGAATAATTTAAAAAAATAAAATATTTTATTAAAATTAATATTATTAGTATCTTTAATAATATTAGAATTAAATAAATTGAAATTATTTAATTTTTTTAGATTTATTAAAAACTTTATAAAATACAAGTATTATTATTTAAATCTATTAAAATCTTTATTATATTCTAATATTATATTAATAATATTCTAAAAAACTATCTACATATTTTGATAATGTTCTAATTTATAATTATGTCTAATCTAAATACTTTAGATATATCTACTAAATCTTATAAAAATATTAAAAACTAGATTATATATTAAATTATTAAATTAAAAATTTATAATATCTAAAATTAAGTTCTTAGATTTAATTAAAAATCATAATAAGTTTTAAAAAAATCTTAAAAAGATATAAATAATAGTCTTGTAGCTAATTATAATCTATATAATAAATACATAAAATTATCTAGATTTTAGTAATTTTTACTAATAATTTATTTAAGATATTTTTAAATTAATAATTTTATTTATATACTTAATTAAAAAGAATAATTTATTTAATTAATTTTAAGTTTATTAAAAAATATTTAATAATTTAAAAAATATTTTTATTAAGATTCTAGTATTATAATTCTTTAACTAGATTTAAAATATTATCTTAAAAATAAATACTTCAAATTTAAAGAAATTTTATTTCTAATCTGAATTATAATAAATTACTATAATTTAAAATATTTTATATTTATTAAACTACTAAATTATTATTTAATTCAATAGTCTAAATTTTTATTCTATTTTAATTTTAAGATCATATATAAATTAGATAAATATAATATCAAATCTAATAATTTAATTAGAGAATTAGAAAATCTTTTTAAAAAAAAGAATAACTATTTATAATATTAAAATTAGATTATTCTGAAAAGGATATTTAAATCTAGAACTACTAATTCTACTAGAAAATTTGTAAAAAATATTTATTAATAATAAAAATAATTTTACTATAAAACTAGAAAAATCAAAATTCTTTATCTTGATTAAATATAGACTTTCTTTAGAATTAGAAGAAAAGATATTATTATTAATTATTAAAAATTAATAAGATTTATTTTTGAACAGAAATAAAGTTTTTAAATATTTTTAATAATATAAACCAGTTAATATATTACATATAAATAAAATAAATAAATTTATAAAATCTTAAAAATTTTAGATACTCGTAAAGACTATTATCTAAAAATATTATTAGTATTATATAAAAAGGATTTTTATTTTATAAAAACTAATTATAAGTACCTAATAATAAAAAGATTAAAATTAGTTTAATATAATTAATCTATAATAAATCTACCTCTAGATATACTAAAAAAATTTAAATATATAAACTTTTACTATAAAAATACTACTAGTCTAATATCTATTATTATATAATTCAATAAATAAAGAAATATTATATATATATATTAATAAATTATATTAT